ACTATAAAGACCTGATTATTTGTGCACATTAAATATTTCAGACAACATTCTTTTCATTCGAGTTTTCTGACAAAGCTTGACATTTTCACAGCAGAATTATCCTAATCAGCTTTTTCATTTATATCTTTCTTCCTTTTTTCTATTAGCTCTTTTGAGAGCTTTAGTTAAAGTTGAAGATTAAAGAAGGTGGTCCCAAATAAATAGTAAACCCTGTGAGTTTCCAAAAGCAGCATTGTTTTAGCACAAGAAATTTCTAGGACTCTGGATTACTTAAAGAATGTAGAGCACTTCCAATGTTCTATTAATGTCCAAATAGTGCAATGCTATGAAAGCCCTACTTTACCCTTCTGTGTTTCTAAACTGTTTGTTGTTTTTTTTGTTGTACTTTCTGTGCCTTTGGAAAAATTCCTGTCACTAAAGAAATTCCACAACAATCGTAATGTTCTAAAATCTCATACAATTCTTGAAAGTTACCTAATTCACATTTTACTAGCTAAAGTGTTGAATTGTTCGGACATAAATGTATCATTTCACAAAAACAAAAGACAGCAGACTATTATATCTGTACCTTCGAGGCTTATTATTCTATTAGTTGTTTCCTACAATTCTTCTATCACTTTACTTTTCAAAGATGCTTTGTTTGTCCCTGATGGATTAAAGTGTCAGTCTAACATATCAATGTGATCCAAGCGAGGTTATAGATTTCAAAACAAGACCTGTTAAAAAGATACTCAGCCTTGAAAAGCGTTTCTGTTGTGATACAAAATAAAATAAAATTATTATAAAAACAAAAAAACAGCTCTCCAAAAGAATGGCTAACAGAATGTCTGTCTCCCTTTAATGTCTTAACAAGCCTGCATTACAGTTGCATTGAACATGAAAACATATCACTTATAATTGCAATAAATTCACAAAGTTAATATCACCATCTTTTCTTTAGAAGATGCACTGACATTTCACTGAACACATACCTAACATGAGTAAATTCATCATACCTATTAACACTAACAACAGGGATGATCAACAGGGTGTCTACTGTGAAAGTCACAATCTAGTAGCATGTGGTCACTGTTGGAAGCAGTACAGGCTGTAGATCTGTGACTCATGCTTTGCACCTGGCTGCAGATCCTGTCTTGAGGGATTCTGTCCCACTTCTCTCATAGAGCCTTGAGTGCATGCGTCATGCGTCATGCGTCATGCCACACGCTGTCCCAGTTCATGCCACTAATGTTCAATAGGGCTGAGGCCTGGCAATTAAGTACTTTAATGTGACAATTATTAAGAATGTTACCGGCCATAATGGTCAACTTCTTATCTTGCAATAGAACTGTTGTTTCATAAGCAGCAGGGGGATCTGCACTGTCCTGCTGGAATGTCCTCCCACCAGGATGAGCCTACAGGAAGGGCAGTAAGCGAGGCCCCAGAACTTGATCAATGTTGCACCATCTAATCAGATTTCCATCCATTACAACAAGCCGAGATCCCTAGCGAGGAGACCAGATCATCACATCTTAGACCTCCCCATCAAAATAATGTTTAATTCAATTATGTTCAATTTAGTTCTGCACATCTGCACCACACTTATCTGATTTCCAAAATCTTGATTCATCAACTTGATTGAATTACCTCATCACCTGCGCCCAATCAATTCTCTCACTAATATGCTTTTTTTGCAGCTGTTAAAAGTCAGTCATGTCCATCACACTGAATAACAAATGATGAATTAATTAAAAAGACACACAAAATGTAATCAGTATCCATATACTTCGTTATTCTAAAGACATACTGTTCACACAAAGTTTCTTTTGATGCTTAGCAGGCATAAATAAAGAATTCATATTTTCCAGAAGGCTGTCTGTTACGGCCTACAGTTGTAGTTTCTTGCTGGCTGGAGAAACAGTGAGCTCGCTGCTCAGGTGCAAGTTCCCAGCCACTAAAACTGCTGACAAAGCAGCCCACTGCTCTGAAATCAGTTTAGTCTTCAGATGAGTAGTGAAAACTGTTTGTTCTTCATTCGTGTATACAGAGCTATTTCCCATTCATTTTGCATAGGTTACATGGCTTTTGGTGTTTCTATACAGAAAATCAAAGATTACTCTTTCTTCTAAGCTCAGCCTGCCTTTAACACTCTAGAGTCTAGACAAAGTGACTGGAGTCCCTCTATGTGAACACCATTAGTCTCAATCTCTGCATATAGGCCAAAAGCAATTTTCAGCATATGCAGGTTAACCTTTATATTAACATTTATACCTATAATAATATCAGAATTATGCAGCTTTACTATTTTCCAAAGGTCCTACAGAAAACCATTTTATGTCACATAATGACAAAAGCACATCATTATGTTTGCTCGAAAGTGAACAAGAAAATATAGCAAATAATGCTTCCATTAAAAGGACACAACTAACACTCTGAAATATACTGTAAAGATATTTCCACTAAAAAGAGCTAATTAAAAATTAATATAATAAAATAAGACATGTAGGCTAACAATTACTACAGTACTGCAGCTTTCACTGCTACTTCAACTACTTTGTGTTTAGAGAAAATATTTGTGAAAGCAAGAATATGGATTATGGATTACTTTGTGTTAAACTCGGCCGTGTTAGCCAAAATAAAACAAAATTTAAACACACATGCTGAATTTTGAAAGAGCTTCATTACAGTCCTTAGATAGCACAATGATGAAATCCTAAACGCATTCAGTACTTACTTTCTAAGAACAGCAATTTCATTCTCGATGCTGCTCTCTTTGCCCTTCAGCGCTTTCTTTGGGATGCACTTGACGGCAAACATCTTTCCAGTTGCCTTTTCCTCAGCCAGCACAACTTCAGAAAATGCTCCACTGAAAGACAACAAAATATTGCCATTAATTCACTTTTTTTTAGACACCTAACGGGGAATAGCAGCTCAGACCCAAGTAAAAAAAATCAATAAGCATCTCTGATTCCTAAGACACATCTATGAGTGCGGCTCCAAAGGAAATGGATATGTTTAGTGGCTCCAGAATTGAATGCTTCTCACCGTATATAGGGAATTTCCTTTCTAGAACCTGATACTATTGAATAATCCATTCACCCATTTTCTATCAGCTTTATCCAATACAGGGTTGCAGGGGAGACAGAGCCTATCCCGGGCGCAATGGGGAGTACAGAGCCATCGCAGGCCCACACAGACATGCAATTTCCCCTGGGCAAATGAACCTACCAGTATGATTTTGGACTGGAAGGGAAACAACCAAAAACACAGGGAGAACATACGAACTCCACACAGACAGCGCCCCAGGCCCGAAACTGAACCCAGGACTCCAGAGCTGCAAGGCAGCAATGCTGACCACTGCGCCAACCTGCCATCCCTTTGTAACACGTTTACAATAATTAAAGAATGTTACATCACATAAAAAGTCGATTCAATTCCCTTAGGACCACATTTTGCCAGTAGTTAGTATTTTACGAAATATTTTTCCCCCTTTTCTGGTGTTCTCCCTTAGGATACTTATTTGATTAACAAGAGCCCTGCATGTCAGAGATGGAGAGAAGTGCCGGGAATGAGGATTACCCAGTCTCGAAATTCAACCCCTCTGGCTGGATCAATCACTTGAAAAGTGCCAATCTAGCACTGCTCAAGTGCTACTTTAAACTGACAGCCATGAATCTGTAATTCACAGGTGCTTGCCAGTATTCAGATTTTCTCATTACCAATGCATGCCACTGAATGCACTACTCATAAGCTCGCTTAATTACTGTTATGCGTACCCATAAAGATAAAGCAATTAAAAACAATACAAGTAATACATCTATAAACAGAAATTAACTAAGAAAAAAACAGTAGGGCACTTTAGGTCTCCAGGCAAAGAAACTGTAATAGAGAAGTGTAAAAAAGTTTAAGCAACCAACTTTGCCATTTTAAAGGTACAAGTATCTACGTACGTATTATAGGCTTGCCCTTCTGTAGATATACTTATCTACTTATAATTGCTTTGATGAAGGAACAAAGAAAATTCAAATGAAAATGCATATTTTGTTCATCTATTCGCATCATCTTTAAAACTCCTTTAGAAGGTTTTTTTCTATTTTTTCAGTTGCCATTAATTCAATTCAATCTACAGACTAACTACTAATATAACAACACTGCGCCTTTATGATCATCACTATTCAAGATTTTTGAGTATATATAGAAACGTTTTTAAGCATATTACCATACATAAGCCATTTTTTTGTCTTGGTAAAGAAAAAAAGATTATACAAACTAGATCTAAACCATTTGAGTCCTTTATTTTTTTAACAGGTGTCTTAAATTACAGATATCGTCTGATCCAAAATTCAAAAAGCCCAGATCCTGTTATAATCACTCACTGCAGACATTTTTACATCACACAACTACCATAAAGGACTATTTAAATCCAAAACATTCCAGACTTCTCTGAGGTGCTACTCACTTACAGGCTCCATTAATATTAGTAGTTACATTAATAGTTAATATTTTAAGATTTGCATCTCATTTTAAATTACCTCCATGGTAAAATCAGTTTGATGACAAATCATTAGATTAATAATCACACTTGTTGTGTGAGGGAGAATTGTGATCAATTATAAATATGATATATTTATTTTTCAAGTGGACTTAAGACAAAAATACTTTAGTTGTTAGTAAAAACATAGTGGAAATGCCCCAGTATAAAGGATTATTACGATATACTGTAATAGACCTACTTAATGTACAATGGTGTTATGGTCAGATTTTCTCCATGTGTGATGGATGTAACTGAATCTAAAAGCTTCTTCCTTTGTGTAAAAAGTGCAACTGTGCTGTTCTTTCCAAGTGCATAAGGCAGAAACAATGACAGAGATAGAATATGTGATGATCTCATTTAATCAAATTCATCTCTGTTGCAAACGAGGAATGTAATGTTTCAATGTCAAAAGCATTTGGCAGTGTGGTATTGTGCTGTTTAATGCCACATTCAAGATTATTTACATAACAAAGCATACAAAGGACGTGTAGGGAAAAAAAAACAAATTGCAAGTTCTGTTCCTTTGCAGGTTTTTCAAATTTGACAGTAACCCAGCATTTTCATATTTCCAGTCCTTAAACACAAAGAGTGCTTTTTCCTTTTGTTAAATGAATCCACTTTTAAACAGCACTGAGGAGAAGTAAAGCACACAAAAGGAAGTAATCAATTTGCATGATTGCTTATTTATAGCCTTTGTCTTTTCTTGATTTAACCAGGTGATTATTTGCAGAGCGAATAACCACAATTACTGAAAAATGCTACCAATTTTCGAAACAAATACTGGGAACAACCACTGCCACAAGTAAAAATCTACACCTATTCTGCATCTGAAGGCTACTTCATGCCTTATTATTGGATAATCTGAGAATATAACAAGCCTGCCATGTTTGATATATGAAAAAAGATATATTGCACCTGGAATTCTGACGTCCCCAAGACACAGAAAGCAAGGGATTTTACATGAGTAAAATAAAAGCTTTGCTGTGTTGCTATTTTCACAAGTATGAACAACTATAAATAACAGAAAATCTATAGGCATTATGTTATGCAATAAGATACAAGATCCATCAAACTAGTTCACAAGTATTATAGATACAGCCTAAAATAGATCTCCAAAAATGTATTGTACCAGGATGGAAAATAAGATCTTGGGTTATTCCAATTTGTTTCTCATGAATGCATTGATATCATGCAATGATAAAAAATTACCTTAAGGACCTTACAGTCTGAGATCTCCGTGCTGTCAGTACTGTTAGTGTTCTCCATCAGTATAAGCTGCAGAAAGGACCCCCCTTTAAACCTCTTTACTTTGCACTAGACAATTTCATTAAAAAAAAAATGTACTGTACAATATGACAAAAAATAAAAAAGCAAGGGCTGAAATATTTTGTAACCGAAATCAAGTGCCTTTTAGTCTTGTCCAAGTAGAAAAAAAGTTAAATTATTAATTAAAAATGACAATCAAGCCAGTATAATAAGTACATCTTATTTGTGGGTTGATCAAACAGTATAATTATGAGCTAAAACTCTTCTTTGCACAATGAATTCTATTAGTAACAGTGCAATTGTTATATAAATGTCGATTTAACTTAATGTCAGTGGCTTATTAGGTTCCAAGCGAAGTGTTCTCTCCAGCCCACATTTATAAATCAGAACAAGGGCCAAAGTTTGGGTGCTGGGTTCTCTCTTCTCATATTCTTTCTTGCTAATTGCCTTTCAGATATTCAAAATAACCATTTGCTGATGCTGGTAAAAGCAGACCTTCTGCACCATCTGTCACAAACATTAAAGCTTTTTTTTTAAAATAAAAATTGTTTTGTCAATGTGTGCCTGTTGCTATGCTACCGTGTTTTTCTGCTAATGAATGAAATTCAGTTTGCAACATGATCTTCCTTAAGTGATACACCTCTGTGGGGAGAATTGTCATGTGTTTTTTTCTTTTCTTTAATCTTTTCAGTTAATTTTCAGGCTTTTTTCATTTATGTTGCACAATTTTATTGAGAGATGAATCTTTCTGCCAAAATACCAAAATATCTCCAAAATTCAGAAGTCTTTTAGCAAGTCGTAATTTACTCATACAGTATATACTGTATGTATGCATTAAAAAGGAATTAGAGGCAATGTTTCTCCACATATAACAGATGGCATCTATGGATGGTATGATTCAAGTGGCAGCCAGCCATTCAATAAAAAACAACATTAAGATAAATCTATATGCAGAGGTTAACCTGGGCAACCGCTTCCTTTTGGCTGACTGAACGTTTTCATTCTGTAACACAGTGCTCTAGTTTAGAAATTACACTACAGTCAATAACTGGCTGCCTGAAGCTTTTGTAATAGCCTTGTCAAAAAAAATGTGAGACCGGAGAGACAAATGGACCAAATTGCTTCCCAAACCATTACAGCATCTGCAGTCCTTTAGGGCTTAAATTGAAACTTTCTTGTAGACATTCACAGGAGAACTCCCACTCAACTATCCTGGAGAATTACTGATGAAAAGTGATCCTGACACATTAAAATCTCAAACTTTTTGCTAACCTTACATTTTCAAATGGCTAGCAGCCATATCACCCTGCAGCTCTCAACTGGCAGCCCACTGAAGCTCAGCAGGGTTGAGCCTGGTCAGTAACTGGATGGGAGACCTCCTGGGAAGCTATGGTCGCTTCTGGAAGTGGTGTTTGTGGGACCGGCAGGGGTCACCCACCCTGCGGTCTGTGTGGGTCCTAATGCCCCAGTATAATGGCAGGGACGATATACTGTAGTGGGCGCCACCTTTTGGGTGAGACGTTAAACTGAGGTCCTGACTCTACGTGGTCATTAAATATCCCCGAGCATTTCTCGACAAGAGTAGGGAGTTATCCTGGTGTCCAGGCCAAATTTCCCCCTTTGGCCTTTACCATGGCCTCAAAATTGTCCCCTTGTATGATTGGCTTGCACTTGCCCTGTGATGGACTGGCGCCCTGTCCAGGGTGTACCCTGCCTTGCGCTTGTTGCTTGCCGGGTAGGGTCCGGCTTCCCGCGACACTGTATGGTATAAAGCGGTTCAGCAAATGTCATGTCATCAAATTAAGGAAAAAAGAATTTCTGGCATTTTGTCATATTACTTCAGAACCATTTTCAATAACCTTTTGCAAGTCTTTTAAATTAGGACTACTGGCTTTATGTCCTCTTTATGTTTTTTATTTCACCATTGTAGCTCTCAGAGATTTGTACTGTAGCTACCTATCAGACACTTGCTTACTATAAACCAGCCCTCAAATATCTGTTGAAAATGGTGCATTGGCCAGATTGTCTGGGAATATTGCAAACCACATGTCCATTTAAATGCTCTA